AACGGAAAGAAAATACATATAAGCACAAGCTAATAGATACCATTTAAAAACACAATAACGTTGTCCCTGATTTATCCAGGGGTAAATTTACTTCAACTGACCAGCAATACATTGCTTCTAGAGGCTGCATCACATATTCATTTTTTTTGAAATTGGGCTGATTTAACTTGGTGCTTTAACTAATACATTTAATTAGAACGCTTTCCCACATACCTACATAATATTCACATATACTTGGCCCATATTGTGGACACAGCAAAAATAAAATAGAATGAAACAAAAATCAGTTGGTTGTGTTGAAACACACTATCTTCTACTAAGAAATATTAGCAAACACATTTAAAACACGGATATTTACACAGATGCTAAGTTGCATTAGAAATCTTTCTTAAAATATGCTAACATACATTATAACAGCACAGTTTTCTTGATACAGGTTTATTTATGGTACCTATTCAGGAATCACTACCCGTTTCTGCGAGCAAAGTGTTTTTAACTAGAGCAACCTCTCTGTCTCTTTGCAGTGCAAAGATAGTTATTTCAGAAACTGTAACACACTTTCTTCCTTGCTTCTCATCTTCTTTCTTATGTTACGTATCCAGTGTAAAACTTAAATGCAAAAGCTCAAAGATAAGAGTGAATAACCTCATAAAATGTACATGTGATAGTAAGTGAACCCATTTAGTGCTTTTTAAAAAAACTGTTGCAATACTTCTAAATTTCAAGTGCGGGGTGGAGAAGCCCATTTGTATACACCCACTCATAAACGAATGCACTTAGCAGACAGAACACAGGTATTGTATGCTTCCAGCTGCAAAGTAAGCGCATTTTACAGTACAGTCTTAAAACAAGCCACAGTGATGCTTCCAGTTATTAATTTTTTTTAAACAAAAGATGCATAATATTGTGTTAGAAAGAAGAAACAAGTCCACTAAAACAAAATGTATTTGATCAAGAAACGGATTCCCTAGACAGTATGTTACTAAGACCAAATACTAGCAAAAATATTTCTATTACAATAGATCAAAATCCAAAATATGACTTCATGTTCTCCATAAAATTTAAAGCATTATAAAATCTGCAAATGCTTCAGTCATTTGTTGTTTGCTTCCATCACTTTCAAATTACAATCGGTCTATGACCATGCCATTCATTTGATTTTCTCAGCTTGAACTATTTCCATTTGACTCCCTTACTTATGCATCTGTGCTAATTTAATTTAATCTTCTGATTATCATTCAAAACGTTCATTCCAATATGCCACGCTATTTAAGCAATCTGATGTCTTTATGTGCTGCTGCACAACTGATAATCAGCCTGCTTAAATTTGTTGCTGTTCTAACATTTTTAGCTTGCAAAATCCAAATACAGCAGCAAGGCCTTTGCCCATGTTGCTCCATTCAGGTGAAATCTGTTTTGCTTCGTCAGAAGACAGGGTAATATATAGCATACAAAAGAAGCATTCCTGCCCACGTCAGTCTGCCCTTGCAACAGAATCACCGTGGGGAGTCTGCCCTGACATCTTTCACTGAAGTGGATATTTGGACTGAAGTGCTATCTCCCCATCTTGAAATGAGGGCTTGCAGAAAAACGGGAGAGGAAACAGCCAGAAGGCAACAGAAAAAGCATTAAAAATAGCAAGGGGTCTTTGGATTTCAGTTAACTTCCTCAAACTCTATAGGACTGCCTCCACATTGCTGACTGGCCTTTGCTCTAACTTCCCCTGTTCTTCTGTGCCTTTCCACTACAGTCTTAATCCATATCTTTCCAGCTTTTCTTCCTTGCTCTCTCCCATCTCACATGCTTTCCTTCAGGGTCTCCTCTACACCCACACAACACCACGCAATTACCATGATTGGCTGCTATCATGCAGATTACCCCTGCTGTGGGCTATCTTGTCTATTTAGATGGGAAGCGCTTTGGAGCAGAGACTGTCACTACTCTGTGCTTGCCCAACGCCTAGAAGGCAGCCTTGTTTTGATCAGTCTTTTGGCACTAATGTAGTAAGCATAATTAATAAAGTACCTGTCTACACTCATATACAGGAATCCTAAGACTGTATTAGAACAAAACAATTTCAGGCTTCACAACGTTGGAAACGTACAGATAAATGCGTCAAATTTCTACCAAAAGATGATCATGTAACAAATGGACTTTTTAGTATGAAACAGCAGCCTGACTTACTTTGCTCTCTTGGCCATTTCATTGCCATCCCAGCGTGGGCTGTAAGGGTAGTTCTTCTGGGCCTGGGAGTACAGCTGTCCACTGTTAGTGAAGTGGTAGACTGACTGAAACGTTAGGGTTGGTTGGTCTCGAGGAAAGTATAGGGGTAGGTCAACTGAAAGAAAAGAAAAAGATAGTCACAAAAATAAATAATTCTTTTCTTTCCCATTTTTACTGGGAATATATCATTCCTTTCTATCGATTTAAGGGGGATGAAAAGAAGAAAATGATGATTAATTCTAACATAGCCATCTGTTTTTCCCTATAAGTAAGGATTTGATTATATTGCTGCATGTCTTGTTCTGCTTTATCAAAATTGTTTTGTAAAATATACAATTAAATTTGTGTACATAGTGCATGTATATGTTAATCATACTGCTTAAGCCATGCCCATTTTGTTGCAGAAAAAAATAATGCAATATCATCTTTCTTTTATAGTGAAATTTTCCCTTTCAAAGGAAATCAAAATACATTCTGTTTATGCTTTCCATTCAAGAAACAAATTCTTCTTTATCAGCGTTAGCCAATTGTTTTTAGTGTCCCCATGGACATCAAAAGCATTATCGTTCTCATTTTACAGCTGGGTAAACTGAAACTTAAGGAGGTTAAATGGTCTGATAAAGGATACAGAAAGATTCAGTCACATGAGTTAGAACAGATCTCAACTTGCAGTTGAGACTGAAAGTCAAGTGGACAGACAAAAAAAAAAACCCATAAACCCAAAAACACACTACAAAGTCATTAACACCAGGAACATCTCTCTAAAAATAAAAATCAGAACTTCTGTCTTAGTTCCCTTTGCTTATCACTGTCTCATGATCAGCTAGGTCTCCCAGAACAATAAAATAGCCTACAACAGTTAATGTGGTCAGAAACTAGTTTTTAACTTAACTTTTTCATTGCTAGATTTATACTTAAGATTTTCTTGCTCCACTTTTAATTTCAGTAAACTTCAGAAGTCTGTAGTTACATGTGAGTTATGACACCGGACTGCTAAACTATTTACTTTAAAGGTCTAATCTGGCACCAAGATTAACAGAAAAAAAGCGCATTTTCCAAAGATGTAGATTTTATTTATAAAGCACCTACAATCAAACCCTTTCTTATTCCCCAAACTGCAATTCTTTAACCCTGCAAGATGAAAGAACATGCCAAATGCAACTGTACTTCCCTGTAAATCTTAAAGCATTTTCCCCCATTCGGTGTAGCAACAACCGAAATAAACTACTAAGAATATAATTCATTCACGAAAGCCTGGGATCTGAGTATTCTTTATCTGTAACTTCACAGTCCTTCTTGAAGAGAAATAAAGAATCCTAAGTTAATGAGTAGGTTGTAATAGCCAAAGGAAGAGCCAAAGCAGATTGCAAAATCGCTACAAACAACAGACCTTTAAGAGAAAGGAACATTACATCATTAAACCTGCCCTCATGCAGAGCGGAATCTCCCCTCTCATGTATTTGGAGATGTATTATATTTTCTACTTTTTAATACTTCATGGAACAGCAATTCCAGCACTTCCTTTGAGATCTCTGCCCATAGACTGAGATATTAGTGTCAACAAGCTTTTCTTTCTCCAAATTCCATGCTATTATCCTTCTTTTCTTCATTTTTCAGTTTTTCTAACCATGTCTGAATATTTAGATAGGCTTTTAGCCAAACCATAGCTTTCCCCCAAATTACCCTCCAAGACCTGCAATAAAATACGTTTGTAGTAATGAAGTATACAAAAATTGACTTTAATATTCCAGCTGTAGTCCCAAAATAAAGCAGATCACTGAAGATCACACTGTTTGCCAGTTCTGTGATCCTGTGTCTGAGCTACATCTTGGGATAATTCTGGAAGTACTGGTGACTCAGCTCACATAGCAGCTTCCAGCAGATATTTAAACAGCAACGACATGGGCAGAGTTCTGCTAAATTAAGGGCAGATCACTGCTGTAATAAAGATTAGACAGCAGCATTGCTCTGTCAACTTCCTCTTTGGAAGGAATCACGTTTTTAACGTGATTATTGAACAATATCCTTGGAAAACGTTGCCATAAAGAAGCTCTCTCTCAGTGAGCAAGCTGTCTCCTGCCCTCACAGATGCTACGTGTGTGTCACAGACTCTACCGGACTTCACCAGAGAAAGAAACATAAAGCAGGGAGACAGGCTCTCTTGCTTTAGAGTTCTCAATACATTACTGCCCCAGCTCTGAGCATTTAAACTCTATTTCTTTAGCACATTATTTATCTTCCTTCTTAAGTTATCAATTCCTTGAAGGAAAACTACTCTGCATATTTGTATATTTTATCACTGTGTAAAAAGAATTAAACAATTTAGTAAAAAACTCCAGTAACAGTTTAGTCCATATATTTAACTTAGGTTTGAGAATTTCTGATTTTCATTAGGTTTGCTTTGAAAATCTCTGCCTTCATAAAGGTGGCCAGAAGCACCATTTTTCTTCCAGGTAATTAAAACAAAAGTTTTGCACTTAGGAAAAAACATCTAGCACTAGAAGCACTGCTTAAATGGATAATCAAGACATTCATAGCATGTCAGAGCAGCTTTCATTTGTTATGATAAGCCTTTCATGTTTTATAATATTTTTTCAACAAAGATATCACACAAATATATCAGAAAACATTTCCTTCTTTTTTATAAGTAAAACTCTTATAAGATTTTTCAAGACTCAAGTTATAAACTGCTAAATCAGGTGATCAAATTAGATTTAAAACTGTGCATCTTACAGCTGGCCACCAGCAGCATTATTCTGAATTTCAAGTTCAGTTTTGAAAAACTGGACCTGCCTTTGATTGCTAAAACTATTGTTCACCTACAATCACCAAATTCTTATTTTTCTAAACTAAGTGTTCCTTTAATGCAAGGTATGAGATGAGTCCATACCAAGTGAAAAAACCTGTCCCTAATTTTGGAACATAACCACACCTAAAAGACAAGTAAACAGGAAATAGCCTTGACTTCTAAAATGTTATACATATCTCAAGGTAGCCAGCTATTATTTCAGAAGTAGGAAATAAAGGCAAGAATTTACTTCCGGTACAGTGGATGCAAGTCCATCGACACTGTAAGTGTACAGAATGCTTGGATAGGGTCTTAATCATTTTACTGCACATGAAGAACAAACAAACATCATTAATAACCAATGCGAGCAAGGTGCTTTGAGAATGAAAGGTCAAATTCTGCTCCTAGTCACAATCACATTCTTATAGGGTGGCACAGGTCGATAATGAAAGTTTTTCTTTTAGCTGTTTATATATGCAATCTGACTTTGAGTCTCTATGCATTAATACAAAACAAGACCTGCCTTTCTGTGATATATAAAGTGGCAAAGGTAAGCATTATCCTAATACATCCCAGACAACATTTATACTTTATCATGAAAAATACATCACAGTTAAAAAAAATGCACCCCTTTTGCAAATCAATACTTGAACCATAAAAACTGTAAAAGTATGCTTTGGTTTGGCATGTTAGTTGCCAAATACTTAAGAACTACAAAAACGTATTCATGTTGCATACAAGTGCTATTTCCAAATAACAGTTGACTCACAAAGTGCCGTGTGGTGATATGTCTGCAGAAAATAAGCAGATGACTCATGTCTGTAAATTCCTGAAAGTACCAATAGACCCCTTGCTTAGTCATCCTTTGCTTGGATGCCAGGTTCATGAGCTCTGTAAACTGTAATGAGGGATCTAGCTCTTACTAGGTCTCTATCTCTTTCTCTCTCTCTCTCTCCTTCTCCTCGCTTCTAAACAGCACAAATTATCTTCTCTAAAAATAACTTCATCTACGTAAGTGAGTCACTTCAACTAGCAAGCTTACACAAGTCATGCACTTAAACAGTAGTATTTGGTTATGAAGGTAAAAATCTTGCTGTCAAACCTAGTTTTAAAGTTAAAATTATGTCAGAGGAAGTTCCATTTACTCCTTCTCTCACAGAAATAGAAGCATTTCCTTTGGAAAATTTAAACAATTAGCTCATTCAGGAAAGCAAAGCTTTCTAATTCAGATGCATGCTCAAAGTAATTTAATCATATGATTTCTTGCTTTGGCTTTTCTAAGCATCGCATTATTGATATAAGAGTAGCTCAAAGAAACAGACTGGAGAAAGAAGCCAATATCATACTAGAACATTAGTTTCACCTATATTACAATTTACAGACTTTTTTTTAAAAGACACATTTTAGAAATCCAGTGTGCCGAAAATCACACCTTTATGAAAGCGCTACACAAGCAAAACTTGGATAGCTGTTTTAGGTAATTAGGCATTGAGTAAATTCTTCAGTGATTAAACCCTAATTTTCCCACATAGTTCATAAGTAAGCGAAAGAAAAGGGATTCGCTTATTGAGAATGAGTCACATTGTAAAGAAATTTAATTACAATTCATAAATCGTTGAAGTTGCTCTCGCTCTGAAATATAAGAAGCTATCAAGAACTAACACATAAATTTGTTTCTCTTGACTTAGAATTTAATGCATACATACATTGAACATACTGTTATCTAAAAGCCAAAATCCTGACTCATTACTAATTGAAAAAATTGTACAATGAATCAGTAAAGTTTAATTGTTCATTTTGTTAAAGAACAGGAATATCAAGATCTGGAACAGGTTACCCAAATTGTTAAACTTATGTCAACAACTACAGAATTGATTCAGACAGTCTTATTAACTCCAAAATAACATTTTTAGTATGTCATTCTATAGCTTTTTAAACAGTACATGAAATGAGGAAGTGATGTCTTGGTAAAAGCACACGCAAGTGCTGCTATTGCATTTCTGAAGGTAAAGATGCTCGGGAAAAAAAAAGTGCTCTCCTCCCAGAAACAAAACCATGCTTGAAATGCATGCTAATCATATAAATATTTCAGAGCATTTAGATGGTAATATTTAGAAAATTTTTCATATACTACTCCCATGTTCTAGAGAAAATGAAGGTTCAGTCATCCTTTGTAAAATCTGGATGAATCTAGACATTTATTTTCCACGGAAGTCAGCATTCGCTCACTGAATGTTATGGACTGTTTCAATGCTTGGATGATATTATACCAGTTAGATCTTATTAACCTTCTGAATGCTTGAGTCTGCTGCAGTTTATTGCACCTG